ATATTTTCCAAGCAAGATTTTAATATGGATTTTGTTTTCCTAATGCTAAAAGTTTGCTGCTCAGCCACTCTGATATCTTTATAACTTTTCTGGATTTTTTTTTTCATTTTATTAACTTCACTTAATATGAGCTTCTACTTCTCTTCAGGTATCTCATCTTACTGTTAAAAGTGATACTAATGAAACTGTAAATGAAGTCTACTTTTATAATGAGTAAGTTAAATTATGAAGAATTAATTTTAGAGTGAAAAATTTACATTTAACTTAATTTGAGAGACTACCAGTCATTTCCATTGCAAGTGGATCAAAACAGGAAGGAAAAAAGAAAGAAAGAGAGGAAAGGAAGAGAAGCTGGCTGATATTTTTGGTGGAGGTTTTTCTTCTTTTTTATCCAAATAACATGTATGAACATTTTGTCTTTAGGAGGAGGATCTGCATTTACTGAATTAAGAACATTGGGATTCATCCCACGCTTTTCCTACCACACCCCACTGCTTATTGTCCTCACCACCAATTCTATGATAGGATTTTCCTATAATTTTTTTTTTTTTAGACAGATTCTTGATCTGTCATCAAGGCTGGAGTGCAGTGGTGCGATCTTGGCTTACTGCAACCTCTGCCTCCTAAGTTCAAGCAATTCTCCTCCCTCAGCCTCCCGAGTAGCTGACATTATAGGCGCCTGCCACCACACCAGCTAATTTTTGTATTTTTAGTAGAGATGAGGTTTCACCATGTTGGCCAGGCTGGTCTTGAACTCCTGACCTCATGATCCGCCCAGCTCAGCCCCCCAAAGTGCTGGGATTACAGGCATGAGCCACTGCGCCCAGCTGAGATTTTCCTATAAATTTACATTTCTTCTTTTATTAAATCTCAGACTACACTTAGTGCCAGTCCCTTGTCTGTCAACGGATGAATGTAATATCCACATCCAAGAGCATTTCTAGAAGGTACACGGTGAGCTCACCATAAGTAAGAGCTGATCATGGGGTTCAGTGAGATCATCAAGTAAGAAAGGAAACAGATGTGGCTGAAATTATGCCAGGAGTTGAACCAAAGATCAAAGCAAGTGAGTCCACCACTCTGGGCTCGCGGCAGGCCTTTTCTCATTTTCAGCTGAATAGTATCTTCCAAATGAAGGCCAAAATATTTTTTGAGATGTTATCATTTATAACATTTAATTGGGATGGTCTGAATTTTGATAAACATTTTTCCACCAGGGCCTTTAATACTTAATCACTTAATCAAAAACAGGATAAACTGAAGCAAATGATCATATCAACAGCCAAGCTGTAATTTTTCTATGGGGCTACAAACCGAATCAAGGGTCTCCTTTTTTCTTAATTAGATTCCTTCCATTTTAGGATCTTAGTCGTGTTTCTCCTCTTATCCTCATCATTGGTTTCTTCTGTCCCTGCCTCCACAGCTCAACCCTCCTCCTCCTCTTTCATAATTGTCATTGCAACTGTCACCTCTCTGTTCTCTTCTACTTTCTTGCCCTTGCCAGCAGCAATGCTTACCAATTTTTACACTTCAGAACAGGTTTGCTTACTTTGTCACTGCTTGGTGACAAAGAAAGGTAGCTGGCTGTCCCCCTGACCTCAAGAACAATGCATTTGGCATAAGTTTTAAAACAATTGTGAGGGGGAACTTTGAGATGTGCATGGAAACTGCATGGGTGAAGCATTTGAACCAAGTGCATCCTGAATCTGCTGTGCTGAACCCCATGTCTGCCAACCCCCTAGGCGTCTAGTCCGTAGCTGCAAGTGCTGCCGATTTGCCATTTTGCCTGGCATGTGACATGAGCAGGAAAAGAATTCCTACATATCTGCCTCGATCTGTTTCAGTAAATGACTAGCCTATGGGCAGAATACAACATATTAGACTGCATATTTGGCAAGATTGTCACCACGTATTTTTCTAAAACTTCAAAGACAGTAATTTGTTTTAGTTTTGTAATTTCGAAAATTTGTGTAATAACTACATACTATTTTACCTAATTGACAGTGATATGCAATCTTAGCTAGATGTACATTTTCTCCTGAAGTAATAAACTTTTTAAAAATTCCCTGCTCTAAGCATTTTTATTATCGTATCTATTGATAATTTCTGTATACAGAAATTGTCACAATTTCACAAACATAAAAACATTTATTTTAATAATTTTCTCTTAAAGGAACTAATTGTAGTCAATCCGGGTGCGAATATATAAATATTGTCTTAATTTAAGAGAATCAAACCAAACGTCATCATGTAATGAAATCTGAGCCAGATGAGCATGATATTCCATTTGAAACTTGGCTCTTCATAGTTTATTATAGGTTGGTATAAAAGTAATTGCGGGTTTGCCATTAAATGTAATAGCAAAAAAAAAGCTTCTATGGAACACAAATTTGATTGTGTTTTGTCATATTAATATTATTAGAAGTAGCATGCATCAAACAATAATGATAACCATTCGCAGGTGGATGTTCTCTGCTACCTGACCCTCTAAGATGCTGCATGTTCAGAACATTAGGGCACACATTTACTGCCACCACCACCCCCTATCCAAACCTGCTCTTGAGTAGAAGCAGAGAGTGCAAATCTGGTCATCTGCTGCTGGTGATCAGATGCCCTGCAGAGCTGGGCCAAGGGCGCCCCCTGCCGGCAGCCAGCAGTCCAGCCCTGGGCACTCTGCGGCTGAGGGCAGCACTGGCTCAAATTCCGTGGCAGGTACTCAGAGAAATGACACGAGGGTCCAGGAAAATCAGCCCAAGGAGTGAGGCCGGAACCTGGTCCTGTGTCTCCCTCAGGGGGATGTGCGCTGTGTGCAAATATTCTTTATCTTTTCCTATCAGGAGCTGGAAGGAAGAAAACAAAATAAAACTCCATGGTAGAAAGGAGTAGAGACGAGGAAATTTTGTTGTTGTTGTTTACATAAAGAATTTATATTTTAGTCATTAAAATGTTTCTAAGAAATATTGTGTTTTCTTCATTGAAATAACAGGAAGAGCTTCTCCTACAGAACACAGATTTGTCTGTTTTGTGATATTAATGTGATTAGAAGTAGCATGCATTAAACAATAACAACCATTCACAGGCGGATGTCCACTTGTAAGTTCTGTTGCACACACCTTCTCTAACTCATTTAAACCTCTGAAAACAGAGAAGGCAGGTACTGTTATAATCCCCATTTGAGAGAGGAAGAAACTGAGACCCCATTTCAGAGAGGATCATTAACTTGCAGAAAGTCTCGCAGCAGTGGAGCTTTGAAGCTAGGCCACTGACTGATGCTTTACCTTCTAAACTCACCCTGTGTTTAGACTCTCATTCAACTGTTGTATCAACATTGAACATATAGCAATGCTTATGGCAAGAATATTTTTAGTAATAACACAGAAAGAAGTTGTGAAAGACGTAGAGAAGTAAAAGCACAGCCTATTAGTGCTGTTCAGGAATATTTTTTATTTGAATTCGGATTTCATGGATGCCACACCAGCTTTGTTTGCCAATAGATTAACTTGGTAGTACTGATCAAAGGGTATAATTTATTTTATTCCTTCTTCTGAATTTATTGAAATCACCACTTTTTTTTTTTTTTACTTCCAAGACACATAGCCTTGGGACCATAGTCCCTTTGGCATAAAGGTAAAAATGTTAACCCCTAGAGGACTCTTATGTCCTGCTTGTCATGTCAGATGACATATGCAAATTACGCCCACACAACATCTGCATAGGCAGAGTTGATGTCACCCACACCTCCGTGGAGCTCTGTGCTACCACTGCACACTCACACCTGGGAGATGGTGAGAATCCCAGCTGTGCCTGCCTGGAACGGTGGCCCTCAGGATGGGTGAGCTCATGCGCCAAGACCCCACGGTGAATGGGGAGCAAATGCTGGCTGTCATCCCCTAAAGTCCTCAATTCCTTCTTGTATTAATAAATCTTCCCCAATCCCCATATGCATAGCAGCATTATACAGAACAGCCAAGAGACAAAGCAACTCAGTGTCCATTTTACCAATGGATTTTTTTTAAAAAAACTGTAGATACATACAATGGAATTTTATTCAAGCTTTAAAAAGAAGGAAGTCTTGGCATAATGCTACAACATGATGATCCTTGAGGACATTATGCTGAGAGAAATCCACCAGTCAGAAAAGAACTATTAGATTGTTTCACTTACATGAGGTCTTAGAGTAGTCAGAATCATGGAAACAGGAGGAGGAATGGTGGTTGCCAGGGGCTGGGAGGAGGGAGAAACAGGGAGTTGATTTCCCATGGACATAGAGTTTCCTTTTGGTAAGACTGAAAACCCTAGAGATGGCACACGACTATGTGAATGTGGCTGTCACTGCTGAACTGTACACTTGAAAATGGTTTAAAGGGCATATTTTATATTATGGGTTTCTTAACACTGTTAAAGATGGTTTGGAGGGAAAAAAAGGAGCTTCTCTGTGTGGGAGAAAACCCCTACAAGAGCAGATGAGATCAAACAAGCCATCATGCCTCATGCCTGAGACTTTCAGATACCATATTTGCAAGTTTAGGCACCAAACTAAGTCTGTGACCTGCTCTGCCTTCTTGTGATCTGCTAATGTAGCATTAAAGGGGTCGGGAGATGTATTGGTCTCTTTCCGCATAATCAGCTGAACTTATGAAAACTTTCATCATAGCTGTGATCAGAGACCCCACACATCCCCCAGGGTGATTTCATTAACTGACATTTTTCCTTTGAGAAAAGAATTAGTTGAAAACATAACTTTAGGCCTGTTTTAAAAGACATACAAGCACATCCCACCTTTGTTGTAGACACTTAACTTGTTCTCAATTGGTAGCAATGATGCCAACATAATTTTAATGAGGTTCGTGACTTGGTATGAGTCCCCAGGGGTGGGCAGACTGGACATGTTTAGTCTATGAACCATGTTGGTGCTTCTTGTGGTCTTAAACGTAGTCATCAAGAAACTAGAGAGAAATCATAAACTAGCAATGCTTTTCTTTTTTCTTTCTCCCTTCTAGCAATGCAGCAAAAAAGCCTCTCCCCCGCTCATGTGGCTTTTGAAGTCCTCCGGCATCATTGCCAACCGACCCTGGCCACGGATTTCTCTGACAATCGTCACCACGGCCATCATACTAACCATGGCCGTGTTCAACATGGTAAGCCCCGGGGTGAATCAGTGCTCACGCCACGCAGGGCATTCTTCCCTTCTGGGACCTGTCCTATGGAATTTTGGAAACTTGCTTTTAGCTCCAATGCTGCCCATTAAATGTAGCATCTCAGGGCAACAGCAGTCATTTCTCTAAGGAAAGGGATGCTTTCATGGAGCCACCTTGAGACACTGGGCGAGTCCTTGGACTCTGCACTTCCTTGCTCATGGTGGCTCCTCAACAGGCTACAGAAATGACTGCAAGGTCTGAAGCATAGTCATAAACCAAGAAGGGTGCAGTGTCCTGCCCTGGAGTGTAAAAGACCTGATCTCAGGGCTTCTCTCTCACCACCTACAGGACTAGAAAGATGTTTTCATTGAACTCTGCAGGCTCCATTTGCACTTCTTTGAAAGTGAGAACCAAGACTTCTCTACCAAGGGGGTTCTAAGGATTCAGTGAGCCAATGTTTGCAGCACACTGAGGACAGTGCTGGCCATTTTGTAACTATTGAACCTATGGCCGCTCTTACTATGTCAGTCTCATCATTGCTGGTGATCTCCCCCAGGACGGATACCTGGCTTGTCAGGGTGCTTTGAGACGCGTCCTTACTGTTCTCCCATCAGCAGCAGCAGCCGAAGGAACTCTGATGTTTCCTGTAGTGGACGCCTCATTGACTGTGGGACATGCAAAGTGTTAGGAGCTGTAGCCCTTGCCTTCCAGGGGCCTGAAGCCAGGTTGTGGTGACAGGCTGTATATAATTTCATAATAATAACATGTTTTTTTAAAGTAGAAAGCATTTGCATAGCAAAATGTAATATTGACTGAATATAAAGATGCACCTGGTACGTGCTGGGTGCTCAGACCCCAAAGACAGTTCTCTGCCCTCCAGTTGTAGGAGTAGAAGTGGGAGACAGACAGCTGGGTAACCCTATCATCAAGTCCTCCTGAAACGAGGAGGCAAAAACAGCAACAGAGGCATGAGGGGAAGGGAGAGCAGGGTCGGCTAGATGGAGTCCTGGAGGGCGGAGAGGAGGAGTCTGCCACGTGGACCCGGAGGAAGTGAGGGGCAAGGGCAGGTGGGCGGAAGGTCCTGAGAAGGAGGGACATTTGCATCTGGGACAAGAGAGACATTCATACTAAGAAGGATTGAAAAACAAAGCTGAAGAAGTGGATAAGGACCTCAAATGTTTAATGGGGCCAGTCCTCCAGGTCATGCTGGAGATCCTACAGTTCTTCTCAGACACCTGCAGATTCAGGTGACGCTGATGCCACCTGAACCCCAGATGGGTCAAGCCCCAGTGGCAGGGGTAGGATGGCCTCTCCATCTGCTTTGCCTTGCCTAGAATTGATCTTAGGGACACCTGCAAAGGGCCTTCAGAGAGCAGCTGTGGCTTGTTCTCCCTGCCTGTCTGGAAGTGGGTGTGTGCCATTCCCGCAAATTTTCTTGTGTCATAAGTTTGGGGACAAGTGTGCCTGCGGCCCGACCTCACCTGCCTGTGTGCCCCAGCTCCGTCTCAGGAGTTCCCCAAGAAAGGACGTGAGAGCAGTTCTGATGTGCATCTCCACAGGTATGTGGACCGCTGAAAGGGGACACTGCAGCCACCTCCTCCAGCCACCAGCTCAGCCTCCATGGCAGCTAGTTAAACAGCCGCATCTGTTGCTGGGGAAGGAGGTGCTCAGCAGGCCAGTCCCCCAGGACACAGCCTCCCTGGGCTAATGCAGGCCCTTGGCTCGCAGTGCCCTGTGGAGAAGTCCGGATGGGCCAGGTCCAGTGCTGGAAGCCCTCCTCCTGCCCTTCTGTAAGATGGGAGAGTGGCACAAAGCAGGTCTCCCCTTCTTCCTGGATGTCTGCATCACCTGAGGCTCGTTTTCTGCTGCAGGGATCATGGGGCCTCCCTCTGGGGAAGGAGGCCTCCTCTTCTAGGTCTCAGGCGTGCCTAGATGGTCACCTCATTACTTCCAATTAGGGCTTAATCCAGAGTGAATGGCAAACAGCTGAGGAGGGAAAATACACCATGTCTAGACAACAAGCAATTCCCTGGGGTACCACTGGGCTCCAGAAGAACGGAAGTGCCAGGGCTCAGCTGGAGACCTGCTGTGTTAGTCCACCTGAGGCACCTGTTCTCGGGAGCCAGACTGGCCAGCCAGGGGGCATTCTGTCTGAAGAACAGGGTTGGGGGTGACGGTAGGGAGCGGTGTTCTTACTGTGGTCCCAGAGCTCTCTTCAGGGGGACAGCCTCAGAGTCGGGAGCTCAAGATGAGAGATTTAAGACAGACAGGAGAGGTTTTCCTGAAAGAGCCTTTCTGCAGACACACCACGAGCCACAAGAATGCCTCAGCTCTCTGCATAGGCAATTTCCTGGATACTGCAAGGATGTGAAGAAATCACAGGGGAGGAACCTGGACAGAGAGGTAGGCAAGTGGCATTGGGCCGAGACTCCAGAAGCATCATGAGTGTATGAGTGTGTTTACTTTATTTTTTTTGGAGACGGAGTTTCACTCTGTCACCAGGCTGGAGTGCAGTGGCGCGATTCCGGCTCAACTGCAACCTTTGACTCCCAGGTTTAAGCGATTCTCCTGCCTTAGCTTCCCGAGTAGCTGGGACTACAGGTGCAGGTCACCACAACCAGTTAATTTTGGTATATTTTTTTTTTTAGTAGAGACAGGGTTTGACCATATTGGCTAGGATGGCCTCTATCTCTTGACCTTGTGATCTGCCTGCCTCAGCCTCCCAAAGTACTGGGATTACAAGCATAAGCCACTGTGCCCAACCGAGTGTGTTTTCTAAAATGGGTTCTTCGGGCTCAACTTTGTAACCTGTGCATTAGTCCTGCTGCTCCAAGATCCAGCTCCCCGGGTGAGCACACTGCCAAGCACCAGGTGGAGTCCGACAGATGAAAGCTACGAGAGAGACCGAGTTGGAAGTTAACTCCATAGCCAAGGGGCAGAGGATGAAAGCGCACTTGAAGGCAGCAGGGTGCCCGGGGTCCCAAGATCTCAGAAACCTCCAGTGACTGACACATGCCCGATCATTAAGCCTCCTCCTGGCTCCTCAGGAGTGTGTTCACCATACCTGCAAGCAAATTGAGCACACTTCCTGAGAGCTGACCTTCACTGGCCAGTAGCAGCTCATACCAGTTAGGGGACGATACCTTTTAACATCATATACACACACGTCAGAGTGAGATCATTATTTCTTGATATACATATAAATAGTGAAATGATTACTACAGGCAAGCTATTTAACAAATCTGTCACCTTCCCCAGTAACCTCTTGTGTGTATGATTAATGCACCCAAATCTACTCCCTTAGCAAATCTTCAATACAACAGAATAGTATTAACCATAGCCCTCCAACTGTGCATTAGATATCTAGATGCACTCATCCATAGGACTGCCACTTTGCACCCTTTGACCTATCTCTCCCCATTTCCTGCCCTCCCCACACCTGGGAACCACCATCCTACTCTCTGTTTCTGTATATTCAACCTTGTTTTATTCCACATATAAGTGAGATCGCTCAGTATTCATCTTCCTGTGCCTGGCTTGTTTCACTTAGCATAATATCCTGCTCCATCTATGTCATTGGAAATGACAAGATTTCCGTCTTTTTAAAGTTGAGTAATATTCCATTGTGTGTGTGTGTGTGTGTGTGTGTGTGTGTGTGTGTGTGTGTGTATCAAAATTTCTTTATCCAATCATCCGTCAATAGACACATTGTTTCTCTATCTTGGCCGTTATGAATAATGCTGGAATGAACATTGAGGAAATCTTTCTTTGTTTTTTCACATGCCCTAGGAAAGTGCCTTTCATTCATTAGCTATTAAATGAAAGAATGGATGAATGAATAGGGAAGTATACAGCCATTTAAATAAAAAAAAATTCTTTTTGTAAAATCTAGTTTGAGCTTGTAAAGCTAGGATTTATCACCTAATTCGTAAAGACAATGTAACTGGGAAACAAATATGCTTTGGAGGCCAGCTCTATTTTGTATAGCATAATTAGTCATGATTGACATACAGTGCAGCCAGTGTCTATAGTTTGACAAGTGATCATTTAGGAGGAGACATTCTTTCCACAGTAGCCGTGATCCTTTAGAGAGAGGACAACTGCCTTTAGTAACAGAAATGTGTCTTTCATGTTGTTTTTCTTCCTCTACAGAAGACACATTAAAAGTATGACGGTTGACCCTTGAGATGTATTTCTTCTCAAAGATATTCATCACACTTTGCAATACTTTTAATGTGTCTTCTGCAGATTTTCCACATACCAAGGTGCCTTCTGTAGCAGTAGAGGCAGGAAAGAAGCTAAATTACCTTTTCCCCACTTTTCCTGTGTCGATGCAGGGGGAGAAGAGATCAGAACTGCTCAAGCGCTGAATTCCTCCAAGAGTTCAGGAAAGCCCCATTTGTATTGATACCTGGTGCCATGAACTTAGCGGTTCTTTTCCATGCAGGTGCTCCGCCTGTACTTATGTCAAGAAAAATCATAAAACTGTAGGAAGCCAATGTTAGGTACGGAAAGGAAATAATATGACCTGGCTGTAGAGCCTTTCTTATAATGTCTTATTAATCACCAAAGAGGCAGGAATTGTCCATGGGACTGTGCCTCTGGCCACACCTGAGGATCTGCAGATGCCTCGGGCTCCTGAGCTCTGACTGAGTGAGGCAGAGGCAGTGCCCCCGGCCACATGCCTCACTAGGTGGTGCTGAAGCCACAGGCAGACTGCTGAAGCAGGCAGGCTGGTTAGAAGACAGCACCTGTGCGGGGTGGTGCAAGGGAAGCGGGCTCCTGTCACTCACGTCAGGAAGGTGACACCTGCTGAGGATGCCAGTGAAACCCAGTCTCTACTTGCGTGCAGCTCAACAGTCCCAGCATCATTTCTGTCTCTTTTTACCCAGCCCCACTTCAACCTGTCCATCCTGGGGCAGTTTCTATTTAAAGCAGGATAGCTTTTGATGTTTTTTTCAGTATTCTTTTTTTTCTGAACATGTATTCCAGGCTGATGGAGCCCCATTCCCAAGTAATATTTCCATTTCTTAGCAGTTGTTAACCCAGTGAGAGGAATCCAGGCATCGGACTCCCATTTCAGCAACAATACCAGTTTTTGTGTTGGCGGAGGTTGGGGGCTGTGGGAGCACATATGCTTCAAGTCACTGGGAAGAACATTTCATTTGCTCTCAGAAAACTTCACGTTTTTAAAGTCATAGCCTCATTCATGTCTTTATGTAAAGCCTCTGTTACTGTTTTTTTTTTTTTTTTTTTTTTTTTTTTTTTTTTTTTTTTTTTTTTTTTTTTTTTTTTTTTTTTTTTTTTTTTTTTTTTGCTCTGTCATCCAGGCTGGAGTCCAGTGGCACAATCTTGGCTCACTGCAACTTCTGCCGCCTGGGTTAAAGCAATTCTCTGCCTCAGCCTCCTGAGTAGCTGGGATTACAGGCACCAGCCACTATGCCTGGCTAATTTTTGTATTTTTAGTAGAGTCGGGGTTTCACCATGTTGGCCAGGCTGGTCTTGAACTCCTGACCTTGTGATCTACCTGCCTCAGCCTCCCAAAGTGCTGGGATTACAGGCGTGAGCCACCGCGCCCGGCTGTCCCTGTGATTTTTTAAGTTTTCTCTTCGAGACAGAGGAAGAGTGCTTTCATTTTCTTTCCTTTGGGTGTGTGTGTGTGTGTGTGTGTGTGTGTGTGTGTTTCTAATGTATGTTTTTAAAATCACATAAAATATAAATAACATAAAGTATACTGAACAATTTTTAAACATACAATTCAGTAACATTAAATACATTTGCAACGTGGTGCAGCCTTCACCACTCTCTGTCTCCATAGCGTTTTTCATTTTCCCAAACGGCAACTCTGTCCCCATGAAACACTCACTCCCCATCCTACCTCCCCCAGCCCTAGGTCACCATCGTGCTGCTTCCTGTTTCTATGAATTTGCCAATTCTAGGGACCTCATGTGAGTGAGTCACACGGTATCTGCCCCTCTGTGTCTGCCTCCTTGCCCCTTGCATTGTGCCCTCAGATACTCCTTTTCTTCTAGATGCCCCAGTCCCTCTGCAGCAAGTGAGCCTCAGTTTGCCCTGCATTTTTCCAGCCAGTGGCAAGCAGCCCTTATTAACTGCTTCTCTGTCATCACCTGCCATGACTCTATATTTCAAAGGGGAGAAATGCATTAGGAGTAACGTGGATGGCTTGAGGCTGCCCTGACCTGCCTCTGCCATTGACTGCATGGATGGGCCGCTTCATCTGAGGGCTCTATGTCAATTTCCAGTCACTGATATTTATTCCCAGCCTGCATTTTAATGATCCTCACAAGAGCCAGGGTCAATGAGAACAGTGTGTTCACAGGACTGGTTTTAAGTGTCAGTACTCATTGATATTGAATGCCAAAACTTCCAAGTCAGTTTTATTTTCAGTGAATTGTGCAATTTTACCAGGATACCTTATACATTTGACGTTTATCCGTGTGATACCGGCACCTCAATAAAAAGTGGAGAAAAACAATTAGTTGTCCATGTTTGTTTTATACATAGTGTTTTTTCCATGTTAGTCTCCAGCTGGCTGTTGAGAATCATGTCTGAGCAGCCGAATGTGCTCTCATTTTATTCCTGACATTTCGAGAATGACGTCACTTGATTCCTTGCAGCATTTTGCAATTTCTTCTGAGAAATTTCCAAGAAATGTATTCTAAGTAAAGCATATATAAATCTGTGAGCCACCCAGACAAGGAGTTAGCCATAGTTAACTAGTAGGCTAGTCAGTTAGACTAGACTACTAGTCTAATTTCAACCAAATGACAAACACAATGATGTTATCAGGCATAAAACAATAATACTAAATGCACCTGTTTACAATTTAATGTCATTAGAAAAATATAATTCTGATATGTTTTTAATTGCTTTAGAAATGTAACATTTGCAAGCAAACTAAAAATATGCAATGTTCATTAGCATTTTATTTAGGATGTTTTGTTCAGAATGATGACATCATTATCCCAATTATGATAAAGGATGTAGAAAATTAAATTAGGTTCAGAGAAGCGCTTCCTAAATCATTATGATGCTAAAAATATTTTCAGTGGAGAAAGTTGGGGCAGCTTTACCTGGAAGGAAGGTGGGCAAGGAAATAATAACTCTCTTGAGTATTTAACTGGCTATAATTAGGGAATGACATGAGTTTGTTATTTGAAAATGAAAAGAAGTCAGAGGTAGGGAGTTGATTCAAAATTGTAATATGATTTTAGACAGAATGAAGAGTCTTGAATTTATGGGTAGTTAGTAAATACTAGAAAGACAGCAGAAGTGAGATAGGAAACATGGTGTATGGTGATTGGAGTTTTCTGTTCTTCAAGTTCAACCATCATATTTACTGCAAAAACTCCTTGCAAGACACATTTTTTTCACAAAGTAAACTACTCAGTCACTGTATGTCAAGAATGTAATACTTGATTTTCCCTAGGTTTTTGCCTATATGCTGATATAATCAAGAAGTTTTTAAAAATATTTTAAGATCCTTGGCACTTAAGACTAGTGATGCACCAGGCTAAACAATCTCCTTTTGTTTGACATTTCTTGATTTTTTAAAATATTTAAATCAATTGAATTTCTGGTCTATCAAATTTTAATCTAAATTTGTACTTTTTTGGAGCTTGTTGTTTGCCAAGCGATTACTTCATTATTTTTTTTTCAATCCCTGATATAATTTTTTCCAAAATATTAGCACACTTGTAGTTCAGCCAGGGATGTGACAATTTTTACAAATTCTTTCATCATACATATAGAAATTACTCATTTCTTTGATTCTTAAATCAGCATTTTGCCTGATTTAATCAAGTGATATAATGGGCAGAAATACAGTATCTAGTATTTCTATAGACGATAAGAAGAATGTTCCCAATAATAGATTAAATAAATGCCTTCTTATCTGTCCAAATAAAGTAGTTTAGGTATTTGACAAGAACTATGCAATCCAGAGAAATAACTCGATAGAAATGAACAAAAGCAACCATAGAAACTACAAGGGAAGTTTTATTTTTTAAACCTTGAATATGTGTGGTTAACCCTATGCAGAAAACAAAATCTGTTTAATAGATTTATGAATGAAATTAATTTATTTCAGTAAAAGGAACTGGTTCAAGTCACGGTTCTGTGGTTTGTGTTTCCAGAACATGCCTGTGACCCTTAGCCATATGACCGAAAAGTGGCTGATCCTTGGGTATTTAGTCTGTTTGCAGCTTCTGTAGGACAGAGAATGAGAGAGAGAGGAAGAGAGAGAGAGAGAGAGAGAGAGAAAGAGATTTCTCCTGCCTTGCTAACAGGTTGATGCTGTCCTTCTGATGCTTATATTATGTAAGACCATTACATAAGAGCTAATTATTTTCTCAGCATTACCTTTTGTCTCTTTAAAGTCCCCTTTCCAGCAGTCCTAAAAACATTCATCCTTTTAAATTTTTCACCCTTATGATCTGAGTTGCCAAGCACTCACAAATAATAGATATAAATGTAGAGGCTGGTGATTGCATTTTGCTTACAAAATTAATTTTCATTCTAAAAATCAATAATTCATAGAAATATACTGACTCATTAAATGTTTGAGCCGAGATGGAAAAGATACTGGAGGAAAAAAACATTCTGAAGACTCCAATTTGATGGTAGAGAAGTGAATGTATGCATGGTGATATCGGCTTCAAAGGCGATATCGGTTTCAAATGTCATTCTAACCATGCTCTCTGCCAAGGGCTTTGTGTACTTTTTATTGTTTGAGAGAGGTGCCTCCAGTTTCTTTAATGTGAATTTTGAAGTTCTGGAATTCTTTATGGAATGTATAGAACAATAAATCGTTCATTACTTATTGAATAGAAATTCCCAAATCCGCATGAACAATCCTGTTTACTGTGCATAAGGAACACAGAATTCATAAAGTTAGCAGCCACCTGCTAGTTATCTTGTCTAATTTGCACTACTAATTCATAAAAAAAAAAAAAAAAAAAAAAAAAAAAAAAAAAAAAAAAAAAAAAAAAAAAAAAAAAAAACCTTCTCTTTGCAGTTTTTCCTGAGTGACTCCGAGGAAACAATCCCTCCAACTGCCAATACATCAAACACAAGTTCTTCAGCCTCAAATAATCAGGCGGCGATTCTGCGTGCACAAAATTTATTTTTCCTCCCGGTAAGAACATTGCAATTATGACTGCTTTGGTGGCTCTCCTGTATGCTAGTAGTCTGTATAACATACATTCTTTAGTCTTAGATTTGTTCTAGAGTTTGCATTTCCTCTCTGATATCAATCTCTGAGCAGTCCTGAATTTACAAATGCCAGCCTCTGCTACAAGTCCAAGCCCTTGGGGACTGGTGAAACTCACATTTGCAAACCTACAATGTTATTTTCATGCTTTCACCAGTAATGATTGCCTTATTCTCTTAACCACTACAACATTTCTAGCATATATCCTACCATATGGCATTCAATTATACATCACCATGTTTCTGGGTTTTTTACTGAGAGACGTTGCTAATTGTTCCAGTGAATTAGTATTATCCCCCTTAAAGCTGTGATAAAACTGCCCACACCTCATTTTCCTTCCTCTTCTTTGGCAACATACGCTGCCCAGTAATTCTATTCCTCAGTAATTCTTGCTAACGGACTCATCTTCACCAGTGTCCCAAAGGACCTAGGTTGAAATTTCAAAACTTATTAACGCATTAAACTTTTAAGTGGGGAGTTAAGTCAGTTATTTACTGCTTAACAACTTTGTTCTTCCACAAATTGTGAAAAAAAAAAGTTTTTATGCTCTCCTTTTCACTTTCTGAATAATTACCTAAAAATAGTGCAGATTATGCTCATTTAGTTTCCGTCTCAAATAACCAGTTTTGAGAAAGCTAAGTGAACTATTTTGGAGACTCAAATCAATAATTCAATATGTATGCTTTCAAAATACAGAAAATTTTAACTCCAGTAGCTATGGCAATAAAGTGGATTGATTTTCTTATTTCTCCTTCTCTGATTTGCTGCCTTGATATTTTGCTCTGGTCATTTTTCCCTTCCCATCATGTAATTTATCGGGCAGCTCACAGCTACATGCACAGAAAGAAACGGCTTCTCTTGTTCTTTCCTGGAGGCTTCTGAGGCTTGACTGGGTCAAGGGAAAGATGACCATTTTCTAAAAGCAGTGTCCCCATGGGGACATTGGGAAGAGGGGGTGGTATAGGTTCATCCCTTACCCTGGAGATCCTGTCCTTCAAATTATGTATTACCATCAACTTCAGTGAGGATTAGGCTTTGAATTATCTAGTTAAACGAAAGTGAAAAGCTGGAGTCCTCCTGAGAGCTTATTGACTGTAATCTCACTGCGGGCCATTTGGAGCCCTCTGTTTTAGAGAAATATTTAAATTAACGGTGTGGCCTGACTCTTCCTCCTTGAACCAATGGTGTTAGCATCCACATGATCCATAAGCTGGATGCTGGGGAGAGAGTGCACCGACTGAGCAGTCCCCTTTCACATCCACGTAGTACTTTACATTTAAAATTTTAATGTGAAGATGCATTTTGACAGGAAAAAAATGTATAGCTGGTAATATCCTTTTAAATCTCTCCTTCCACTATGTTTGAGATCACTTGGTATCATTAAAAGAATAAGGAAATCATTATGAATTTCATTTAGGTAAATCTGTATAATATCTTATTTGCAATCAAAGAAAATTATTAAAAACTCAAGGTGGGGAAAGGCAACATGTATTCGACCTTAAATCATTCTGAAAAAGCACAATCTACATGGCATGTGGTAAACAGACTACTGTCTTTCCAATCATGGGGCCTTGGAGATGCTAGCCAGTGTTGCCAAGGAAGCCCCAGGTCTGCATGAACTGGCTGTACAGAAATGCATTATGAACTCATGGGGTTAGCAGTCCCTAAGGAGCCCGATATCCTGACTTCCTTCCTCATGGATCCCAGGGAACACAGGAAAAGCCATTTTGTGGGTGTGCACCAGACAGGCATCGTTTCTCTCAAACCCCATGTCATGTGATATCTGAAGTTGACCAGCAAGTTGAGAAGCATGCCTAATTGACTGCTGATGGTAATAGAAAGTGATATAACTCTTCTAAGTGATAATTTCAATCGTTACCAAAAAAAAAGTACAAGACAGACATACTTTTTACCGTGTAATACTAATTTTGGAAGTTAATTTTAAAAGTGGAAAGGTTTACCAAAAACATGTTTGTACATGTGTTTATAAAACATCAACAACAAAAAAGAAAGTAAAAGAAAGAAAGCAGCCTAAAAATTTGAAAATGCATGGTGGTTATACTTAACCACCATGTAAGTTATAACAAAATTTATTTTAACTACCATATAAGACATTCTAAAAAAAATGACATATAAATATATATTCATAATAAATTATTCATTGAAAATAATTGTTTTAAAAAATTCTAAACAGTATAATCCTAACTTTCTAAAGTAATACTACCAATATTAAATAGCAAGAAAAAGGCTGGAAACACATATACAAGTAATGAATAGTGGCTAAAGTGGATATTGGGGATTATCAGAGACCCTTATTTTTATATGGATTCTTTTGTATATTTCCCAATTTTTGACATTGGATGTATTATTTCTGTAGCAGGAAAACACAGTCCTTTTAAAATAACAAAATTAGCCATAAAGGATCTTTGCCACGTAAGCTGTTTATACCACAGCAGGCGCTTGGTATGCATTATGTCATTTCATCCAAAAATGACCCTGGTAAAGTAGATCTTATTGGGACTCTAATTTTGCAGGTGAAGAAGCTATAAGACCCAGAGACTTTACTGTTAATAAATTACCCAAGATAACAATGGCTGTTACATTACTGTAAAGTGCAGGTTGGTTTCAAAGATTATGTCAAAACCGGTAAACATTACTAGCAATCGGCTTTACCAGTAAGTACAGTCCATTAGAAGTCAGTTCAATATCCTATCGCCAGAACCGCTGGCCAGCCAGCGCCCTCCCTGGTCAGCTAAACCGTGGAGGCAGGTCAGGCTCCCAACCCAGCCATCCTGTAGTATTCTCTCCCGCACATCCTTCGGAGTCAATTTACAGGTTCCCAACTTACCTTTTCATGCCAGATTACCTCTTGCACAGCCTCCAAGCATGCTAGAAAGCCATTTAATAGAGATGGACTAAAAGTCTACTTCCCTTGAACATATATATTTGAGTAGATGTTCCTGAAATGTGAAAAAAAAAAATTAAAGCCTCAGAATAATTTTTGAAATGTGAAACCTTAGCATAGTTTATAGGTATTGACACATAGTTCAAAGGTTCAAACTGTGAGAACCTTTAAAATTTTACCCCGTGTCCCTACACACCAAATAATCCCCATTGATACACACACACACACACTTCTAAGTGATTCCTTATTCTGCCCTCTCATTTGATTAGGCTGAACTGGTTGATAGCTTTCATTATAACAGTGGTTTTCAATCATAATTTTAGAAACAGAGCTCTTTCAAAAACGAAAGCTGACCAAGAGCTTTATAGTAATAATAGCAAAATTTACATAACTTCTCATGGACTAGGCCATTCTGAACTTGTGTTACTTAATCTTAATGAGAATTCTCCAAGGTGGGTATTACCATCATCTTTACTTTGAGTGACTTGTGGAAGACACGGGATTGTTTTGTTAAGCTCAGCTGATTTGGGGGATCCGATGGGACAGAATTACTGAATAAGAGACTTACCCTCACCAGTTCCTGGGGCAATTTCCCGGGTTTTAAGGAGCAGTTTTATAATACTCAAGACTATCGATTAAAGGCCTACTAGGTTATAAATAAGGGCTTCTCAAACTCTTTGTGAAGGCCCTTTCTTCATTTTGCTTTGTTTTGTTTTTGTAATTTCTAGTCTGTAACAGACTAATTCTTTTGAAAAATATAATGGTGAATTACTAGAAAAATGAACTAAAAAGACAGCCATATGAAATGCAAGCTCATGTTTTATTACATTCATCAGAAACAAGCTTACTCTGCCAAATTTCAATCCACATTGTATACCTGTTTCACAGAACTCACTGCTGTATTTTGAGTCCTCTTTTTCTAAGCGACATAGAGCTTTAGTGTAACTTGTATCAAAGTCCTCAGACCTGCCCTGAAGTAGGTACTCAGTAACTTATCTAAGGTGACATGGGCAGAACTCTCATAGAAATAAGGTGTCCTTTCACAGGGTATGCTACACCTTGCCTGCCTCTGAGATACTGCCTGTGCACGTGTTCACAGCTCTATTGATTCTGTTGTTTTACTACGTTAACCCACATTGTCTCTTCTTTCCGTTTTTTTGTTCTCTGTTGTGGGAGAGCATGAGAGACAGAAGAGTAGAGGGCTGCTATCTGGCAATTGCAGCTGAGATACAGTGCTTATAACACTCAGTATTCCTTAAAATGCTGCCACCTGAAATGAAAAGTAGCCTTCACATTCCCATGCAGAGAAAGACTTTCACCCGCTAAAGAGTGACCTAGTTGGTGTGTAATCCAGTGTGAGGTGTTGGTCTTCCTTTTAAAGCCACAATACCAGGTCGAAGTTCTTACTGATGGAATTTCTATTCATTCCTCCTTGGGTTCCTCCAGTCAAGCATGCCTCTTGCAAAGAGAAAGCCTGACGTATGATCACTGCAAGCTCATATTTCCAACTTTTCTTTCGTCTACAAGAACAGGAGTGTTGAGCTAATATCAGTCGCCTTCCACATAGCTTAATGTAGATGGCTTTAGCTGGGGATATCAAAGGAGGAGGCGGAATGACAAAAATAAGCAGTTCATACCTGGCTTACTCAGTATGATGAAATTATAATTGAGTAGTTTAAAAGCTAGGCTATCTTTTAAAGACAAGGTTTAAAACACATCAATAAGGGGCCAGGCGCAGTGGCTCATGCCTGTAATCCCAGCATTTTGGAAGGCCGAGGCTGGCGGATCATGAGGTCAGGAGTTTGAGACCAGCCTGACCAATGCAACATGGTAAAACCCCGTCTCTACTAAAAATACAAAAATTAGCCAGGCATGGTGGTGGGCACCTGTAATCTCAGCTACTCAAGAGGCTGAGGCAAGAGAATTGCTTGAATCCAGGAGGCAGAGGTTGCAGTGAGCCAAGATTGCACCACTGCACTCCAGCCTGGGCGACAGACCAAGACTCCATATAAAAAAGAAAAAAAATCAATAAGATCTATGTTTTACTAAAAGTCTTAATTTTTTGAGCTTTTTTTCTGTTCTAGGAATGCTAAGATAGTAACACAACCCCTTGTTCACAGAAACCCCATGATGTAGCAAATAAAGCATTTTGAGGCTGGCACCTGCTTCACCGTAGGGAGTACCTCCTGGCGTGCAGGACTCTGGCTCTGTACATTACTCTTTTATCTCTGTTGTTTTCAATGACCTACAAGGATAATATGATTACCCTCATTTTACAGTGTCATGCAGACACTGTGATATAGGCAAGTTAAGTCACTGGTTGCAAGTAAGTGAGCTAATGTGTGAGTGAAAAGTTGAATTCAGAGCTATCCAAAGCCTACCTGAACCTGCCTGCAGTGGTAGATGGTGAGGAAATGGCTCACCTGGGGGGCCTGCCTGCAGCTTGCTCCGGCCTCAGATGGAAGGTGCTAGTTCTGGCTCCCACTTGTTTCTTCCACTTTCTTCTGGTGGCTGTCCAACTCCCAGGGGATTCATGACTCGCCCTGGTCAGGCTTTTAACTTAAATCCTTCTGTTTTAAATAGGCCCGCTGACACACCATTTCTCTTCTAATAAAATGTCTGGGCTTCCTTATGCTTTTAACAGAGTTATCTGGAATGATTTATATTCTCTTAATGAATGAAAGAATTGAAAGGCCAAAAGAGATTCTATTCACTTCAACATATATTTAAGGAATATATAGGAGGCCACACTGTTTTCATTTTCAAGAAATAAATGACATTGGTTTATAATGATGTGTCTTCCATATATTTTTTTTTACAATTTTAGTTCTAAAAAGTATCTGGCAATATACATGCTTATTTTTATTTATCATGCAAGGTTGAGTTGGAAAGCTGTGGATGATATTTTTTTTTCTGAATTTAACATATTTGGGCATTTACCACTGCCTCAAAGATAAGAAACAGGGCTCTGTTTTCACAGCCAGGTTATATGTTGACCACATGAGCTTGGCAGTGGCCCTGACTGTACTCGTGATTGAGCATTTCTCAGAAAAGATCCTAAGTATCTGTCTGTTGTCTTTTCCTGTTTCAGTACTTTATATACAGCTGCATTCTGGGACTGATATCCTGTTCCGTGTTCCTGCGGGTGAACTACGAACTGAAGATGTTGATCATGATGGTGGCCTTGGTGGGCTACAACACCATCCTGCTCCACACCCACGCCCACGTCCTGGGTGACTACAGCCAGGTCTTGTTCGAGAGGTGAGCCGATGCCTCTTCCTTCTCTTTCTTTAGTTCTTTCTCGGCATGTGGATTGTGAGTGTGTTTTGAGTACATGCAAGTTAGCGACATCGTCATTGATAAATCATTCTGATAGAAGTTCTTTGAAGTGATGCCTCAGAAAGATATGTATTTTTGTTATACATTGTATCTGATTATGTATTCTGAAACACACATAGAAGATGTGAAGTGGTTCAGAGAGAAGCACTGTGTTATAACCTGAACTGTGTTGATAAAAGTAATTTAAGATTGTCCAGCTCGGAACTATTGACATTGTAGACTAAATAATTCTCTGCCTGGAAGGGGCGGGGGGGGGGGGTGCTGTCCTGTGCATGGTAGGTAGGGTGTTTAGTGTTTAGGGACATCCCTGGCCTCTACCCACTGAATGCGAGTCACAATCCCCTCTGCCCCAAATCATGACAACCGAAAATGTCCCTAGAAATTGCCAGATGTCCTCGGGAAGACAAAATGGCCCTCGGTTCAAAGCAAAATATTGAAAAAATAAGTAGCCATATTCACAAGTTATAGTGTTACCTTTCTTACTAGAGATTTTCTAAAATACTGTTGTGTGGAAGGAGAAATATCAGCCCTGAACATTTTTTGTCCTATGAAGAACTTGACTTCCAAGAAAAGATATGATTGCTCTAAGTCTTTTAACTGAAAGTCTAGATGTAGCAAGAATGATTCTACCATGGGCACTCGCTCTGGTTTATAACAGGTTTCCTGTTATTGAGTTACTTTTGTAGGCTTCTAATGAATATTTGTTTGAAAAAAATTGTTTTAATCATTATGATACTCTCCATATCACATCTCAAAAAAAAATGTTATAACAAATGTTAGGTTTATTTCTGAACCCACCAGAAATAAACCACATGTCAAAGTATTTTCTAGGAGTGCTTTGCACTGTCCTCCATCTTATTTCTATATTTATTTTAAAATAATATAAATGCCTTAAATATTTACATAGATTTATTACTCCAAAATGTTGTTTTATATTGACAGTACATGGCCACCTATTTATCCACTGGAGACCGGAGTTAGGAAGGGCAATCATCACACCGTGTAGCCATTTCTGACCAATGAGAACTTTTGCAAAAATACAAGTGCAGCCTGTTTTTTTCACCTAATCTAATTTTCATCATCCCCCACACAATGAAACTCTACTAACCTGTAACCAAGCTTAAGGCAGTGGAGTTGCAAAAATGTGTAATTATATTTATGATTCCTTAGCCAAGATAAGAATGGAAGTTAATTTTCCAATGAATTCTCAAAATTGCCATCTAAACATGCTTTACTATTGCTCTGCTGTATCCAGAAAACCTGTGTTGTATTCCTAAGTAAATGTAGCACTATTGATTTTCACACATAGCTGATGATGCTACTAAATTTCCCTTTATTAAATTTAAAGCGCCTGAATATGTTACATATCCGAAGGAAAAGACGAAATCAGATTAGCAGGTTTCTGATGTGGAGAGAATTGCTTCTGGAGACCTCAGTGAGACACCTTAGGAGACGTACTCTCTGAGTAGAACCCCAGCGGCAGGAGAGTACTTATCAGGCTGAAGAAAAGGAGTTTCACTTTTAGATCACTTTTGTTCTATTAAAGCTCTTTTGTGTCTGCTCTCTTGGTTTGTCTTTGTAATGACCTTGAAGCTAGGGAGACCAACTTGAGAAGCCTCAGCGACTTGCCTTCACTTCCGTCATTAAAGCCAGCATCCTCTTTGGGGGCACACGCCTCTGTCCCCCTTCTTAATTTTTAAAAATTTTTTGTGGATATATACTAGGTATACAGAGTTACGGAGTACATGAGATGTTTTCATACAGGCTTGCAATGTGAAATAATCACATCATGGAGAATAAAGTATCCATCCCCTCAAGCATTTATCCTTTGCATTACAAATAATCCAATTACACTTTCTATTTATTTATTTGAGGCAGAATCTTGCCCTGTCATTCAGGCTGGAGTGCAGTGGCACAATCTCGGTTCACCGCAACCTCTGCCTCCTGGGTTCAAGAAATCATCCTGCCTCAGCCTCCCTAGTAACTGGGATTACAAGCACCTACCATCATTCCCGGCTGCATTTTTTGCCATCAAAGGCAAAGTTGTCCTCAGTTTAAAGCAAAATATTGAAAAACTAATTAGATTTGTAAAAAAAAAAATTGTATTTTTAGTAGAGTTGGGGTTTGGTTATGTTGGCCAGGCTGGTCTCAAACTCCCGGCCTCAAGTGATTCACCCACCTCAGCTTCCCAAAGTGCCAGGATTACAGACATGAGTCTCAGTACCTGGCTTCTTAGTTTTGTTTGTTTGTTTGTTTGTTTTAGAGACAGAGCATGCTCCGTTGCCCAGGCTGGAGTGCAGGGGTGCGATCTCGGCTCACTGCAACCACTGCCTCCCAGGTTCAAGCGATTCTCCTGCCTCAGCTTCCCGAGTAGCTGGGATTACAGGCACCCACCACCATTCCTGGCTAATTTTTGTATTTTTAGTAGTGACATGGTTTCACCATGTTGGCCAGGCTGGTCTCAAATCCCTGACCCTCAGGTGATCAGCCTGCCTTAGCCTTCCAAAGTGCTATGATTACAGGTGTGAGCCACCATGCCCAACCTTGGCTCGGTTATTTTTAAATGTACAATTAAGTTATTATCAACCAGAGTCACCTGTTGTGCTATCAAATAATACGTCTTACTCATTATTTTTTCCCGCTTCCTAATTTTGATCAGAAGTTCTGGCACTTCTTGAACTAATCCCTGAACTGGCTGCACAATATTCTCAGAAGCATCTCCTATGGAAAGATGAGTCTTACTGATGTGAAGTAATAGCAAAAAAAAGCATAATGCCTCAAAATCAATGAATCTTCTATGATGTCCACTTAAAACTAACCTCACATGGGAGACTCTTAAGAGTGGGAGCTTAGAAGCCCCCCAATTTCTTCAGCCTCATTACCTGTTTTTTTGTTTGTTCATTCATTTATGTTTGTTTGCTTTTATTTTTGTTTTTGTTTTTGAGATGGAGTCTCTCTCTGTCGCCCAGACTGGAGTTCAGTGGTGCGACCTCAGCTCACTGTAACCTTGCCTCCAGGGGTCAAGCAATTCTCCTATCTCAGCCTCCCGAGTAGCTGGGATTATAGGCACATGCTACCATGCCCGGCTAATTTTTATATTTTTAGTAGNACAGGATTTCACTGTGCTGGCCAGGCTGGTCTCAAACTCCTGACCTCATGATCCACTCACCATTCTTACTCCTGCTGTTCTTGCCTTGTTCTTACTCCTGCCTATTTTACATAACCCTGTGAGTCATGCCAGAGGTAAAACCAATCAATGTCAGTGTTTTCTTTCTTTTTTCTGAGATCCAAGAGCTTTTCCCCATCCAATAATTGATATCAGTTTTCTCACCCTTTGCCTCATTTATTGATGCTGACACACACTTCTCAATTGAAAGTAAGATATTTTAGGGGAAAAAAAAGCTGTGTAGCATGGTGCCTTGAGAGTGAACACCACTTAATCACAAAGCCAGAGGTGCCCCTGAAGTTGGAGCTGGCTCACAGGACAGCCAGACAGCACCGCCTTTTCTGATTGAACCAGTCTGTGCCACTAAAGTCACAGCATTTGGTCCCGTCCCTTTGGTGACCTATTTCTTACTCCTGGCCTTCTCTCTTCTGCTCCAGCCTTCTTTCTGGGACCCTTGCTTGGCTGTGGCAGGTCAATGTCCTTGCTGTCCACTGAGGCCCCTGGGCCTGCTCCTTGTCGGCCTTGAGTGCTCTGTTGAGACTGATGGTTAATGTTAGGTGTCAGCTTGACTGGACTGAAGGCTGCCTAGATGGCTGGTAAAGTATTGTTTCTGGGTGTGTATGTGAACGTGTTGCCAGAGGAGACTGACATTGGAATTGGTGGACTGGGAGAGGAAGACCCACCCTCAATGTGGTGGGCACCACCCAGTTGGCTGCCAGCACCACCAGAACAAAGCAGGTGAGAGAAGGCAGGCTAAGCTGGCTTGCTGGGTCTTCTGGTTTTCATCTTTCTCCTGTGCTAGATGCTTCCTATCCTTGGACATCAAACTCTATATATAAACAAAACCTGATGTGAATACTAACAGATAATATCATCCATGATCTGGAGATATGCTCTGTCTTCAGGGAAGCAGGTGAGGCGAGAGACTTCAGGAAGCCGGTATCAGGCTCTTCCCATTGTTCAAGAGCACAACCTGCTTTTGTTTATTCATTCAACAGAATGGCCTTTGGCCTTTGGATTCTGGGACCTGTATAGCAGCATCTCCAGCGTTCTCAGTGCAGAAGGTGACACTGTTTGTTTCCCTGGTTTTGAGACTTTTGGACTTGGACTGAGCTACTCCCAGCATCTCTTTCCCTGTTTTGCAGATGGCCGGTCATGGGTCTTCGCCTTGTGATCCGGTGAGCCAACCCTCAGTAATAAACTCCCTTCTAAAATACATGTATCTTATTGGTTCTTTCCCTTTGGAAAACTTCAACTAATACATAGACCTCCCTCAAGCTTCTGGCTTTCACCCCTCGGTGCACCTGAGGACCAAGCAGCTCTTCTGTTCTGTTTCACCCTGGAAAGATGGAAGGGGCTTATCCTGGATGATGTAGACATAGCCTCTGTTGCCAATTAGCCCCTTTTCTGTGATATACACGTATGTGCTGAGTACTTTAACACACTCTCCCGAATCAAGCAGAAGAGAAGATCTGAACCAAATACCATGGCCTGTGACTGTGCCTGGCAGCTAGTGCTCAACAAGCATCTGTTGAATGAATAAACAAAAGCAGGTTGTGCTCTTGAACAATGGGAAGAGCCTGATACCAGCTTCCTTAAGTCTCTCGCCTCACCTGCTTCCCTGAAGACAGAGAGTATCTCCAGATCATGGATGATATTGTCTGTTAGTATCCACATCAGGTTTTGTTTATATCTTATATTTCAAAGTAAAGTTCAGAGAGGGCATCTCTGTTGAAAGGCAGTGCCAGCCGTCTTC